GTAGTGGATCCGAGAGTTCTTTGGCAAAAACGATCATCACTATTCTGCAAGCAACTTGTTACGCAAGTTTTCCGACAGCTTCCTTTCGGAAGGTACGTAAAAGATTAAACGCTGTTAATATTTGGTTTTCACTCGTAATTGATCAAATACTTTTCTATATTTGTACGAAATATGACTCAAGAGTAGGGCGGAAGTGTTGTAGTGATCCAGTGGCAGCGCTTTACCGACGCGAGCGGTCGCGGGGATCAAAAAATCCTCGGCCGCGAAGTACGCCCCGGGTCAAACCAACCTCCATGCAATTGTATGCAGACTTGTCTGGGAGGATAAAAAACACTGACTTGTACATCGGCTGGCCCCCGCAAGTCATTGTATAGGCCACATCGCATTCAAATGCCACTGCGAATGTACAAATGGAAGTAGAATGCGTGCCGCATCCCAAAAAGGGATTGATCAACGGCAAATGCTTTATCCTTTATCCTTTATCCTTCTCACTCATGGAGATTCAAGAATTGAAATAGAATCTTTCAAAATCATTGCCATTAATACTTGATCGTCAACAGTTCTAGGGGAGCTGTTAAGGTGGAGGACTGTGAAAGATTCTTTTAGAATGCGATGCGGATGTGATTTGCCCCTGAGAAGATTAACGAGCAATTCTAGGCACTCGTGAGGAAATAACGAGAGGCAGTGACGAAAAACGTCCAGCTTCGGAAGCAGTCTTTTCACCTTCCTCAGACGATTCTATGTGGGATTTTAAAAGGGAATCTTTGCTTAATAGGGCGCAATTCGTCCCTTCACCACGTAGTCGTGACTCGCCGACTTTCCGGAGCAGAATTCGCGATCGAATTGGTGTGTTATTTCGCCTGAAAATGGAGCGAAAGATGCAGAGTTTTGTCGGTGAGATAAAAATATACTAGGAACCGGAGAAGACTACTTTCGAGGACCCCATTTCTTTCGACCGTGGCACTATAGAGAGGCTCAGCACTTCGAGGAGAGAGAGCAGTCAAAAGCGAGAAGGCACAGACGCCACGAGCTGTGAATGATAGGAATGGCAGCGGTCACTGCGGTCAACAGAAGGAGAACATTTGCTCTCTGTGTGGCCCTTTTAAGCCACGGCAGTTCCAGGATCCGTGTGCATAGGGACCCTACTACGTCACTCATAAAGAGCATATTTCAAAGATCTGATCACGGCTAGGTTTTTAACTAATTCCCCAAGCTGTCTGACACAAATCACATCTCAAAAACGATCCAGTTCCAAACTTCCTAAAGAGGTCTACGGGTTAGCCCGCAGACCTCATCCCTTATCGTTGAGCCGAACAAAAAAGGAAAAGAAAACTTTGTACAATTCAAGATGGCTGGTTAGCTCTCCCACATAGCTCTATTTCATACTCAACTATGTATGTGTGCTGCCGCCCGTTTCCACTTCTCCTTTGCATTTTAATTGTACAGAAGCGGTCAAAAGTGTTCGCCGAAACCATTTTCGTGCATTATCTTTTCTCACTTGAGCAACGTGCTCCAAAGATTGATATACTATGTTTCTAGTGTTTTTATATCCTTGAGTCTTAAAGATTCAAGATACTCAAAAGCAAACTTTCGAGATCACTTTGGCTTTTTTCTGGCAAAAGGAAAGAGAAGCACGAAAAACTGTTTCGGCGAACACCTTTGACCGCCACTGTACAATAGAGCAACTGAAAACATTCTTAAAGTTAGGAATACCGGAAATACCGCTCCCTTACTCGCTAACATACCTTTGCTCCCGAAATGTTTTGAAGTCAGCGCCCAAGGACAATTTTAAAAGTCGCTCCAATAAATGTTATGAACTGATGATGATGAGGTTTTGCTTTTCATTGTTATCAGTGACCAAGGGTGGAGGTGGTCTAATGACAAGTAGAGCCACTTCCCACACGCGATATCCGATGATCAAATCTCGCATCGGGTCTACCCAGGTCAACTAAGCCTTCCATTTCTCCAGAATTTTTCAATTGGTACAGTACTCGCTTGGAAGGATGAAAAGCCTAGCACGTCCGTTAGTTGGCCTGTGCAATTTTTGGGCCATATTGCATTGAATGTCCCTAAGATTCTGGATGGGAATGTTCAGAATGCGCGGCTTATTCCGAAGAGGCCTTTTGATTGAAGGCGTGAATTTATCCTTTATACTTTTACATCGTCTAAGATTGAATTTTTCGAATATAAAAAGAGTTGGGAGCTTGTTCAACAATTACCCGTCGATAGTGTTGAGTGAGAGCCAAACGAAAGTGAGGCACAGAAACAACCACCAATTGTACGGTAGCAGTCCGGACAGCACTTGGGCAAAAAGCATGTCAACCAAGTAAAGACTGTCTTGGGACACTTTCTGAAACATTTCCAGTTTATAAGGAGTTCGAATCCTGCTAGTGTTCAGGACTTTGTAAAGGACACACCTGAGCCAATAGGACCTTATTCCGTTTCATTCGTTTGTGCTTTCCGTGTTCGAGAGAACGGTGTTCGACCTCTGGAAATGAGTCATTCATATAACCGAAGAGCACCACAGAGACGTCAGCGCTCAAAAAGAATGGCCATCGGGAAGCGCTGCGTTTAGAACAAGAGAGCTAATGGGGTACAGAGTTCATACCTTATAATAGCTTTGATCTTCGCCTACCTTAACTTGAATACTGGCAAATCTACAAAGTTGAGGGAAACTCCCGAATTTTTTGACTTTATTTGAAGCTGGTTTGTATCCCCATATTTTCTCTACCTCTGGGCCTCTCAGGAGCCTGAAAGTGAAGGCGTCGGCATAAGGTGCCTAGTGAAAGAGAAACTTGTGGCACATGATGGTGCGGGATTACCGCTAGAAATCAAAGGGAGCTAATTCCTATATGGAATCTTTCAGAAATTCAGAATAGAGTATTTCACTTTCATAGACCTAAGCTCTGGCTAGAAGCTACTGGAAAGGTCACCTTACGGTAAAGTTACATTTTTTGCGGTACCGTACCGCGTTTCAACTAGGTAACGCTAGCGGCGGTATATATTCATCTTGGCGAGGTATCTCCCAAGAAGGCCTACCGCGCAGCAGGCAGAACCCACCGGCGCCTAAAGCGACGACGAGGCGTCCTACATCTCAGCCAATACCCGAAAGCTGACACCACTCCCCTTCTAGTCGCGCTAACGCTGCGCTATACTTCTTGTCTTGGGTATATCCTTTTCTTTGGAATATAGTCATTGCATGTAAGGCTAAAGCAGCGTTTAAGCAGAACAAATAGTGACACCACCAGGGCCATCAGTCTCAACACTTGACCTCACCATAGCAAAGCATATGCTGTATATCTAAACTCACAGTAACGAGTAACAACTTTCCGAAAGTGATGACGTTCATGGTGAACATTGCTGCTGTGGATGCATAGACCATGATTCCGACATACGCGAAAGCATCAGCGGATTGTGGCTGGCCATCCCCAGCCCACACCAAGTACACTTCATCAAAAACGTAGCCGATTTCATCTGAAAACGAGAGACGCCTTTCATTTTCATCACGAAGAGCCAATTCACTGCTTCGTTATTTTCCCAGTAACAAAGTGAATCATTGATGGGTGGTCTGGGACAAATGGAACATCTCGCTCCTTCGCGATCGACATCAAGGTAAGCTCCAAAAACAGTTCGCATTGACCGCTACCTGTTGTCAGTCTACAGTCTACAAAATTGCCTGGAGCTTTGGTGGTCGATCTCACCAAAGCTTCAGGCAGTTTTAATCGGTGAACTGTTCCTGGCTCTTTTAGGCGTTGAAAAATTAGAAGAAGCCGAAACGTCGGCCTTGGTAGGCATCACCATATTGGGAAGGTTTCATTCAACTGTAGACTGGATTGAACATTGATTTCAATTGGAAAAATGCCAGTCCCAGTAATAGACCAAAATCTTCAATGTCCTCTTTTTATTAGATCACGAATAGACCTTTTTTGGGCTTTGGACAAAAGTTTTTGAGCCAACTAATGCATCTATTGCCTCACACCTTTACAGTTGGCAATCACATCACCTCAAATTATCAGAAGGAACGATTTGGTTTGCACAGGGCTTGGTCATCAAAGTTGTGGCTCCTCTATGTGTGTAATTTCAGTTTTTGGTCCATTTACCCCTAGGACAACGGAACGATTCATACTGCTCTCGGGGGCTTCGTTTTGGAAAGTTTTGCAGATTTCAAGGGGAACCTTAAAACTATTTATTTGGCTTCAACCAAGCTAAAAGAA